TGCCTACAATGCTTAGATCTTCAATTTTCTCCTAGTCTGTGTGGTCCTTTCGTATACCTTAACCGAAATTTGCACAAAACCTAAACACCAGATTAGATATAACCACATCTTATTATATGAGGAATCTTATAACCAATCTGTTAAGCTCATGTTGCATTGGACCGAAAAGTGTTTTCTCTCTGGTATATCTGTCTATTTATGGAATAAGTTGAAAAACTTCTGATATCTAAATAATTTCTTAGCTGTGACACTTTTGGTGCAAATCCAAGGAACTTCTAACAAAGACCTCTGCTTATTTTCTATGTTTTTTGTCCTCTTATCCTTCAATCTCCAGGGATCCCTGGGGAATCAGGTGATGAAGGGGTGAGAGACACATGTTCCCAACCCCCTGCCAGGGACAAGCCCCCTGGACCCATTCCCTGGGGTACTTCCCTACTGACAGCAAACCCCTGAACCCCTCTGCCCTGGGGCATTTCCCTACCAGGTGAAATCCATGACTCCCGTCCCCCCTTCCCTTGGAGTATTTCTGTACCAGGAGCAAGACACCGGACCCCTTTGTCTCCCAGGAACTTCAGCTTACCTGGATTTATCAAACTAGAAAACATGCTTTTAGAAATCAGATCTTCACTTCTTGCAGTCAGGGGACACCAGACTTTGACTTAGCACTCACATAATGTACAGTTCAGTTTCTCAAAAACTTAGTATAGAGTTTGTGAATCCATAGTCATAATGGTATAAGTTACTTATAGTGATGCACGGAGATAGAGGGAAATGGACAACGTCATCTTATAGAGCAGAAGAAACAGAACAAGATACAACAAAGTTTAAGCTGCAGCGGCCTCATATTCACCGCTAAATGACAAAAATATCCCCTGCATTTCACTGCTCAGAGTCTAAGTCGCTCATGTTTACCTTACCAAGCCAGGATCAACACAACACTGACTGCGTAACTCATAACTGCGATATCCCAAGTAGTTCATGTGTTACTGCACACTTGTCAAAATGATATTTAGCTAATTATTAGTGTCTGCTGTTACACATTTAGGATCTTAAAGTCTTTTATCAAGGTTATCATACTTCATTTACATGTTTAAAGATTTATATATACACTTATTTAGAATGTTATGCGCATAGTGCATTTCAGACTTTCAGTCGCCAGCCGCAAGGTTTGACAGTTAAAAGCCGGCCACTCTGTGACAGGTGGCTGGTGAGAAATGTTACGTTTCCAGTGTTGCGTTGATTCTGGGTTATTCTAAAGACTATACTGTGGCAACAAAGAAATAGACCTTATTTACCATCCCAGTTTAGTACATGAGGCCATTAAGTGAATCTAAATTTGGTAAACGGAAATATAACGTAGGTCGTGTAATAGAAGGTCAGTGGGTTTTTGGAGGGGTATGCCACAAGAGTGGGGAATTTTTTCTCGTACCCGTGGAGACGCGTAACTCTCTCTCTTTGCTTAACCTCATCAAGGAGCGTATCAACCCAAGGACAACTGTCATTAGTGATTGTTGGAAGGCATACAACTGTTTAGAAAAAGAGGGCTATCAACATTTAACTGTGAATCATTCATATAATTTTGTTGACCCCAAAAGTAAAGCTCACACCAATACGATCGAGCGTAAATGGAGGGAGGCCAAAGCCAAAGTGCCCCTCTTCGGCAGGAGGAGTTACCACTTCGCCGGATATTTGGCCAGGGCCATATTTATGATGGCATACCCGGCCGAAAACAAAAGATTTCATCAGTTCCTCCTCGCCGCAGCTCGCTTGTACCCTCCATACTGACGGTATGTGTTTTATAATGTTTATTAATTTGAAATAATTAGACATCGTGCTGATAAGCGTGGTGTTGGGTGGGGGGATTATTTTTATGTGTTAAGATTTCATTATTTAGGTTCTCATGATATTCAACTTTTATATAGTTTAAAATATCATGTGCATCGGATATCAAGTTTGTATGCATTGCGTGTTGCGCTTGTTTACTTTAGCAGTATTTCAATTGCTGTCCGTTGGAGAAAGTTTTTTTTTTTTTTTTTATTATACTGGTTTTCTATAGTTGTATGGACATAAATTTAGGCTCGTCTTTCATATAAAACTTCTTATCAATGTTTAAAGGGGATTTATTTAAATTAGACATTTACAGGTTTCTAATGACACTGTGCAATCCCCCCCTCCCCCCTCCCACACAGAGCTTAATAAACATGTTTTTACCCCCTCACCCCCTTTGGAACTTAGTCTCTGCAAGGGTTCGTCACAATCGGAAACAATTACCAATCCTGTTGTAAAATGAAATGACCAGTTTGTATTTCCTTTTCAATCTCGGGGTAGAAGGTCACTGTCACTGGTACGTTATCTTCTAAGGATTTATGCAATTACATTTTACGACCTAGAAGTCATGGTTGTCTTTTGCCTTATACCTAAATTAGCTCTTCACTTAAAAAATAAGATACATTTCCTAACTGGGCTTGCGACCAAAGCATAAGAAGATAGGTTTCCTAGAACTCTTTGCTCCATCATTTGCATTTATCACTTTTCATCTAAGAGGCGCCTGGCTGACACTCGACCCTGACCCAGAAATGCTGACCAACATTTTTACTTCTTGGCAAGCATTCCCCGGGCGCGACCCCTGCGCCCGCGCCCCTGCGGCCTCAGGGGCAGCCGCGCCGGGTGAGCGCCCCTGCCCCGGCCAACCCCCTGCCCCGGCCCCCCTCCCCTGCCGACCCCGCCCCCGAAGGCGCTGGTCGGCGACTCCTTCCGGGCAGGAACCCGACCGCCTCCCAATCCCTCAATTCAAACCCCAAACGGAGCTCCTCAAGCCCGCTCTCTAATTGGCTCCTCCGCCTCGCTCTCCCCGGCCCTGTTTGGCCTCCCGCCCTCCACCTACCGCTCTCCCTGTCGCCCTTGCTCCCTGGCCCGCAGTGCCTCCCTCGGCGTGGCTCTCGAAGGCAGGAAAGAGTCCTCGGGCGCAGAAATCCTTCGCAGCGCCTTCGTCCGCACGCAATGGCCGGCCTCTTGTTTATGGCCGCCAGGCTGGCCAACCCTCCCGCGGGCGACGGAATTGGGGCTTTTTCTAGGGCCAAGGCTGGTTCTTCAGGGGTCTGGGAGCGTGAGTGGAGGGCAGTGGAACTGTGGAAATCTTCTATATGTTATGTTTAATTTAAGGGGCTAGGGATTTCCTTCTTTATTCAAGGAGAGTTTTCTTTTCAAGAGGCAATTACATTCCTAGTCTTGATCATAATTTCATATATATATATATTCAAAAATCTTTGGCAAAGATATTGATCTCATTTCTTGAACTGTATTTGTGCAGAAGCGATGGGAGAAAATTGGCAGTGTTGACCGGTTGGCATGCGTGGGTGGAATGATGCTCAGCCGCCTTGACATTCGCTAGTTTGCAGCATAAATGTGCTTAAGACTCTATCACTTGGACCGTAACATTAATCATTATAAATACAAGAATTTAATAACATCAAATAGTGTATGATATGACATCCTCTTCATTAAAGATCAAAGCGGAAGATTATGTAATTCATGACAAGTTATGTATGGAGTCCGATTATGCTAAGGTTAGCACAAGATCAATATTTGCAGGACCTATTCTAATCTTCATGGTTAATATTGAAGCGATATCATTACGCAGTCAGATTTATTTTTCTTCCCCTTCACTGCTTTTATTTTCGCGGATATATGGTGGTGATAGCGTTTTAAATTGACAGTTTTCCGCTGCATTTCCTAAGGAATTCAAATTCTGCATTTCAACCGATAACCACAGTCAAAATCATTATTGTTATTGCTAGTAATATTGTATTACTATTATTATCATCATTGAATTGCCATTGTTATTTACATTATTATCATCATTAATTTTATTTTTTATTATAATTATATGCATTATTGTCGGCATTTCTATCATTATTATCATTCTCATAATCATCAACATTATTATTCATATCAGTATTATCATAATTATCTCTATTATCATCATCAGAATTATTATTATCATTATTACTCCCATTGTCGTAGTTGTTATTATTGCTATTACTGATATCATTATTGCCCATGTTATTAGCATCGTTGTTATTTTTGCGCTATTATTAATTGTCATTGCCATTATCATTATCATTATCATGTTAATTTTGTTTCTCATTTCCACTATTTTATGTCATTTTATTCTTATCCCATTCTATCATTTATTCTATTTTCATAATTTTCTTTTTGTGTCTGAATATTCTTCCCCACCAGTAGACCTCCTAATAAGGGACAGCCAAAGCTTATAGTGGCTGGTGGACCCCAAGGCAGCGTGGGGATTTCTTGGTCTTTCAGATATGCAGATGTCCAATCAGGGACACCTGTTTCATAGCATACTCTGGGCACTGCTCGCGAGTTGATAGCTGAGACATATTCAGATGCGATTTTTTTTTCGATATGAACTCTCCGCCGGGCATCGCTCCGCCATTACTTCTGGCAGGCTTACTCTACTTCCTTGTTAGAACTTAATTCTTAGAGATCCTAAACCCTATTACGACTTCTGTACAGCGTGTCTCACTGTGGACACGACTATCTAGCTGCTCTTTATTCTTGGCAAAGAGCTTGAGATCACCAGGAAATAGGCGATTGACCGTGCGGTTTCCAGGACCTGGATTATAAGGTCTTGTCTTTCGCAGTAGTCGAGT